TATACACATATATTATATATATTTATAAATATATATATATATATATATATATGTATGTATGTATATATATATATATGAATATATATACATATATATATATATATATGTATATGAATATAAGTTGATATATATATATATATGTTTATATATTTATATATTTGTATATATATATTATATCTATATATTTATATATCTGTATATCTATGTACCTATATCTATATCTATTCCGGTAGACAATAAATGTGTTCGTTTGCATTAGATTGTTATACGTATGTTTTATGAGTTCATGGTTTATATAAAGCCAGTAGGTTTTGAATTGACCTGTGTATATCAACGTCGATGTAAAGTATGCACACCAACATATGGTTGTCCAGACTGTTTTTGAGTTGCCGCGTACACTATACTACATTCTGGTGCAACTACTGTAACAACATTGCTCCGTTGTTTTTTTTAGAGCAGCGATCGCCGCGACAATGAATACAGGCCTATACCTGATGCTCACTATATCTGGCTATTTCAGTATCTCTATACGGATGAAATGACGCATACGACCCGCTCGCAATATTTTTCTCTGGTCTCATGGGCATAGGAGCCGGCTGTTTGTGGACCGCACAGGGTGCCATGGCTCTATCATACTCTACAGAGGATAAGAGGGGTTTATTCACGGCCACTTCTTGGATGATTTATATTTGGGTGGGGTTGTCAGGGGTTTGCTAACCATGTATATCAATTTTGGAAATGAAGGTGCGGGGGGCGTAAATGCGCAAACTTTTTTTATGTTCTGTGAAATCATGTTATTGGGTGTTCTATTTGTGGCTATCTTCATTGTCCATCCATCGAAAGTGATCAGGGCCGACGGGCAATGCGTGAATTTCGATAAACAATCAAAGCCCTTAGAAGAGATTCGGAGTGTACTGGATATGTTTACCAATAAATATATGGTTCTGCTGACCCCAATTTTACCGAGTTCGAATTGGTTTTATGTCTACGATTTCGGTGCCATAAAAGGCAACTAATTTGATGCCGATACAAGAGGAGTGAACAACGCGCTATTCTGGAATGCATGCAGATGGTCGGCAGGTATTTTTTTTCGGCGCCGTCTTCTTAGATACGCAAGTGATGGGGCGCAGGAAGCGAGCTGTGTGGGGTATTATAATCATGTCTGCAGTAACATTGTTTCATTGGGCGTACGCTTTGCTCTATCAGATCAAGTAGAGCTACGACAAGGGCAACCCTCTGTCGCCTCTTATCAATTTTACCCAAGAACCAAACTATGCCTTACCAGCATTTTCGTACAGTTTATGGGCCAAGTAGATGCAAGCATTCAAACTTATGCGTACTGGATTTTGGGGGCGATTGCAAATTCACCCACCGTGTTGTCAAGATACGCAGGTTACTACAAGGGTATACAATCGCTGGGTACGTGTATGTCATGGATTTTAGAATGAATAAAAATGTCATGCCGTCATCAATTGTACGTATGTATTTTCTGGGATGTAGTATGCATTCTACCTACGTGCAAGGTAGCAACGATGGTCAAGGATCGAGGAACTAGCGAGGATAGTGAGAAAAGTGCAATTCATACGGACTATTAAATATAAAATCTCCAGTATGTTTAAATTGTATCAGTATGCCGAAATTGCTTCCGAATCGGGTGCACAATCATAAAGACCTGACCTTGCACATATGTGAAATCTACAGAACGTATAAGGGTATATAATGCAACGTAATATACAAATGCATCCCAATCCAACCACGGACGGCAAGAATTATAAGCAGCAATCTGCTTCCTTGGTATATACACGAAGCCTCATACTAAAGAGCAGGTTTCTGTACTCGATAAAGTTTCAGTGATTACAACCACGCATATATACGTAGGAGCGATTGTATTATACTATGGCACTTTAATAATTGGATAGATGCCATGCCCATTCAATCGGGCTCATAATCCGCGATACATCAATGTAAAAGTAGGTGAGAGTTTATATATTTGAATACGGCGTTGCGTCTCCTCGGCACCGTACTTCATTTTTCTTTGAATGCAGATAAACATTTATCGATTAAGAGTCCGGAAATTGTTATGTGTGTCGGCTGATTAGTACAAACACTCCGGTACAACGAAGAGACACCTTTAAGCTCGACAAAATTCCTAATCACGTGAAGTGAGCATGAACGTGTTTTTTTACCCTCTACATTTTTACAAGCTAATTATCATACTAACGCTATGCATGGATCAAAACTAAATACTTTCATTGAAAAGCTATTGATTCTCAAAAGTACACGCACACAGTTGAGATAGAAACGAATATATGCAAGCACCCTTTTCAAATTCACTGAAACCAGACATAAATACAAACCAAAAGCTCAGACAGCGATCGCTCGCCAGTTATTATCTTTGACGACGGGCCCACAGGTAGGTTCTCCATACTTGCCGAAGCTTTCAGGTCCTATAGGTTATCCGCCACTCATAAGTAAGATTGTCATCATAGCCATGTATGCATTGTCTAACGAGCGACAAATAGGCACTTGTCACATCAATATCCATAAAATTGTAGTCGCTACAGTTCACTAAATATAGAAAAAAAATTGGACACTCGTCGCATCAACATCCATAAAATTATCGTCGCAACAGTTCAATACATATAAACAAATAATTCACAAGAACAAAAACTCCAAACGGGCGCAGTAGAATCCATGCGCAATTTATTATGCTCACTACGCTATAATACGGCCGGGTCTAGTAAACAAATCTATCGTGCACATCATGCGACAGGTTTAGGCATTCCGATCATAGTATACGACAGTATGGTTGAAGCTCAGACAGCGATCGCTCGCCAACTATTATCCTAGATACGGGCCCACAGGTAGGTTCTCCTTACTTGCCGAAGCTTTCAGGTCCCATGAGTTTATCCGCCACTCAAAATGAATAATTGTCATCATAGCCACACATTTATCAAACGGACAGACAATTGAACGAAGCTGGTCGCTCACACTGAATACATTCGACATACCAATATTCGTGAATTGTAAAAGCATACATACACATCAAGTGCTACAGGTCACTGAAGACTGGGCTCAACCTGTACATCGATTATCATACAACTGTAACAAACGTACATACACTTAATAGGTATAAAGAAGAACGGGGGCATTAATGGGTAAACATACTTTATTTTGCTTTAGTATACCACAGAGCTCAATTAAAGTGCAAGTGCGGCTAGGTAAAACTATTGTGCGGGTCTGTGGAATGTATTCTGATGAAAAAAGCATTGCGAGAGGCATTTAGGTTCTACGACACACAATGGTCACTGAGTATCTAGAATGTGAAAAAGCTCAGACAGCGATCGCTCGCCAATTATTATCCTAGATGACGGGCCCATAGGTAGGTTCTCCATACTTGCCGAAGCTTTCAGGTCCCATGGGTGATCCGCCACTCAAAAGTAGGAATGTCATCATAGCTAGTCACAAACATTACATGCAATCACGACACACCAACAAAAGATGGCATACTAGTATTTGGAGTTAACAGTCCATTGCTGATATATCCACAATCGAGACAAAGTATACATACAACAGAATATTGTACAAATCAAACCTCCAGCCTGGAGATCTCAAGTTTCAGGGTATAGTACACTAGTTTATTAATCAGCTCCACCATGTCCCATCATTCATTGTCATACGCGCTTACGCCTCAACCTTGGCCGCTCCAGCATTTTTCTTGTTGTGCCTTTGTATTGGAGAGAAATAGGGCAAACAAAAAAACTAAGAAACCGACAATAAAACCTGCAATAGCTGCTTGTTTGTAGAGTGGCACTCCGATTAAGTTTCACTAGGGAACATAAATCATGGCGGACAAGACCAATATTGAGCCCGAACATGATAATACCATAGTCGTGCTAGATGCTGCAACTACAAGCGAGCGTGCATATGCAAATATTCCTCTTCAAAATACATACTTCTTGGCGAATCTCATGTTCCTCTTGAACTTTGGGTCAACACCACGCATATCAGGGTATTTCTGACGCTGGGGCTTCTTGATACCATTACGGTGAGCCTTGGCGCTCTGGTTATGGGCGGTATGATTTTTGGACTTGGCCATTTTGACACTACATTTCGGGGAAAGGCAGAATACAAAACAATGAGTGACAATACATGACCATCGTTGATAGTAGTTAGATTGTATCACAAGCTATTCAAATTTGTAGGTCGGTAAAATCATCTCTCAGATTTGTATGAATACATTTTTTGGTATATTCAATAACAATTATGTAGACCGAGTGTTGCTTTCAGACTTGTATATGGTCGTCCTTCATATCTGTGTCGAGGTCTCTTGTACTACATTTGCTGTTTCGACCGAAAATACAATTGGCATAGCTGTACCGTTCCTATGTCTGTTATGCACGTAAATATATAGCACTACATGAGAAAACACTGACCCCCACCATATTATAGCATGCTGGCCATATATGAAAATCCAGCCGTTAAAACTACTGCGCATGCTTGTTTTTGCTGAAGTTGTCTGTCACACAAATATCGACCATCAATAGTGACTGCGCTGCGCGAAATGATGATTTGGTCCATGTTATGCAATTCGATTGAGTAAGAATAATTTGCTGCTATATGGGTGACTGTGGGGTCCTATAGGTGAATGTATTCTCAATGGCGACTCGTTTCCAATCGTATTCTTGAAGCCAGATTTTGAGCTTGATACAATACTCTCAATTCCAGCTCATTAATTACGCCTGGTTCATAAATCGCACAGCTGAAAGTCCTTGCAGTCATGCAAAACACACATAATCGACTTTAAGGTTACACTTCCTACCTAGTTTCCTTGAATCGAAAGAGAAGGCTTACGGATTTCGAGTTAGTGTGTTATGTAAATAATTGTCGTGTCCCATGCGTTTCCTGATTACTGTAAATCATATCAATTGCACATGGGTTTACACTGTAGGTATTGGTCAATAGCCGAAAATAATATTTTGTTGAAATAAACTTAAAAATAAAATAAAAACAAATAATTTCCCTCCAAATATCCTTCTAAAAAAACCCCCTGTGATTCCACTCACAACAAGAGTCACAACAAGCCTGAAGAGATGAAGAGAATAGAGATGCTTGATTTTACTTTTTCAATAGCCTTCATAAATTGAAACATATGGTAGAATGATATTTTGTTGCAAACAAACCCATTTTTTAATAATAATTGTGTACTAAGGTATGAAAAGTAGTAGTAGATACAGAAAATGTTCATGACTCGTAGAATGCCAAGCATAAAAGGTGGTTTACGACATTTAAATGGAAAAGTCTGCTGAATTTTTAAAGAGACTTTGTGATTTTAATCATAGTGTAGGCCCCATAAATTGAGATAGAAGTGCATACTTTACATGCACCTGTGTAGAAAAATTGGACTTTTTTCTAGCGATCAGATAAAAAAAAGCAACGTCAACTCCCACGCGCTGTACGTTATCAGAATTGAATATTGCTCTCCGTATATACGCCCAGGGCCTTAAAACACTTGCTGTGATAAATATTACTGCTTACACCGCTCACTCTCAGCTGTCCACATATATTCTCTGTTAGACTGCGTAGTGCGTACCCTCTTTTTGCTCTGTCTTCGCAGACATATATACACACATAAAAATACATATACATAAACTAGTAATCATGTGTGGAATAGTAGGTGTACTGCTTGGTCACCACGATAATCACGCCAACTGCGAATTGTACGAAGGACTCAATCTGCTACAGCATCGTGGACAGGATGCGGCGGGCATCGTGACCAGTGAGCATGGTCATCTTTTCCAACGGAAAGAGAAAGGTCTCGTACGCGATGTGTTCACAAAGGTAAGCGTCACTATCACTTGTTTACTGAAGCTCACAGTTGCTCCTACATGGGAATAGATCACAATTTAATACAGGCGACGTAGGGTGTGGCACCATCTTACAGCGGCACATTCAGGATTAATATTACTTTATGTGCATGCACTTTGAATTTTGCTGCACTGAGTGTTTCGTAAAGCTTTACGTTTCGTTCCGTATCGAGAGTATACTATATAGAGTCCAAAGATGGCGCTTGCTTGGTCACCTCAGTATGTCAGTGATTTGTCTGTGGGTTGTTCGACTCAGTGAACACGAACATTAATCTGCTAGCGAGCCCCACACGCTCTTAAATCACTTTTTAAGTACAGAACCGAGTGTACTTCGGTACTTTTCTACTCCTATCCTGTACAGTCTAATATTGTGTATTTTTAAGGGATGAAAGTGTAGCGTGGTGTGCGTATATGCTTTCAAATTCATTGGTATAATCTGCAGTACTAAATTATAATTTTATATCAGAAAATTTGAAGTATGAATTTATCACATACATCCTGCTCCAGGATTGTGATATATGTATCGTGCGTACATTGGGAACTCAGATCTATTAAAGGTAGTCGCAGCCCTTCAGTCAGGGTCAAAGTTGGCAAGCCAACTATAGCCAAGACAACCACCTTTTTTTATGAGGCGTGTATCGATGGGCTGCAGTGCAATATCGCTTGCTCAACAATTTGTAAGCACGCCAAAACCCAGATGATTGCGATTGCGAATGGTTACATTTCGTATACTTTGATTGTGCGATTCTAAAGTAACCCATATTTAACCTATTTATGTACCGTACAGGACGCTCTGAGGGGTTTGCGTGGACATATGGGTCTTGCGCACGTTCGTTATCCCACTGCCGGAAGCTCCTCAAATGCAGAGACACAGCCCTTCTACGTCAATTCACCATATGGCATTACGCTCGCACACAACGGGAATCTGACAAACTCTGAAGAGCTCAAGAAATTTTTAGATGTGGAAGCGCACAGGCATATTAATACCACTTCGGATTCAGAGGTGTTGCTAAATGTACTTGCGTATGAATTGCAATTAGTGGATAAACATCGGCTGGATCACCTGGATATCTTCAGCGCGGTGACGAATGTGATGGATAGATGTAGAGGTAGGTGTCAGTATCTTGGATAGTATTATAGAATTCTATGCGGTTTGAATCAATTGATAAGCTAACCGTTGCTTGCTTAGCGTTTATTCACCGTAGTTTTTCACTCGTATATGCGAGTATGACGATCGACGATTTTTTTGCTCAATAGGTGGTTATGCTGTTATTGCGATGGTCCCGGGATACGGGCTTATTGCATTTCGGGATCCTCATGGCGTGCGACCGCTTGTCATTGGGAAAAGAGAGAACAAGGACGGAACACTTGATTATATTTCGGTATGTACAAACATGTTGTATTTTTTCCCTGTATATATGTATGGTGTTATTGTCGCGACTCATCAAAAGTTGCATTCGGTTGCCTGCCCGTGCGTAAGAACCAGTGTGTCTCTGAGTTTGTGCATGTCATGCGGACCAATGTCTAAAGTAATACTCAGTTAGCGTTTTACGATACAGCTGCACGCGAGAGTACTTTCGTTACCTAGCTGCTCTTGTACGTGTTTGTTCTCAAGAGCGGGCTTGTTGATTTGCTCATACTTGCGTTCGTAAGTTGCCTGCATGTCGCAGTACATTTTCATATTTACAATATACACGGTTGCTCACAAGACATTGCTCAATTTGCCTGCCGGATTCTGGTGCTGGGCGTGCTAGATTTCCTTTTATATTGTCAAGCCCCCCGTACTTCCGAACATATTTGATCATTAATGACGAACGTAATCTATGAGTCAAATCCACACGCATGTTCATAACTGATATAGCGAACTTGTTTGTCTTTAAGTATGAAACTTTGCAAAAACAATCATTGACACAAGGTCACTCACCGCTTGCAATATTTTTTCTACAGGCATCAGAAAGTGTAGTTTTGGATTGTCTGGGGTATGAGCTAGTCGGGGACGTACTTCCCGGTGAATGTGTGATTCTACGAACAAAACGACATCCTTCGAAGGAAAAGCAGAAGACTATATCTCATGCCGACACAATTGTGCGGGCTATGTGTCTGAGCGAGGGTAGCTCAACGTCGTTCACACCGTGTATCTTTGAATATGTATACTTCGCTCGTCCTGATTCACTCATCGACGGCGTTTCTGTCTATAAAGCACGGTAAGAATTTTTTAGTAAATATTGTTTTAAAAGTAATGTTTTAGACTTATTGATGTGTTATGATTCTGCTATGTGCCACTTATTGTAACTGTTCGGTGCCGGTGGTACACTGAAGATCCGCCACAAGTTGCCGATCTGTTGTCATGCGTACATAGCGATATAAATGTCTCATTTATAATCTTTCGAACAAGCAGACTGGCGATGGGCGAGGCACTGGGCAGAAAGATACAGCAGATGCCCAAACTACTAGCAGATATCGATGTGATCATTCCAGTACCGGATACCTCCCGTGTTGCCGCGCTCCAGATGTCAGTGCTATTAAACAAAACATATCGAGAAGGATTCATTAAGAATCGATATGTGGGTCGAACTTTCATTATGCCGGGCCAAGCGGAAAGGTGTGTTATACTCGTAGATCAATTTAGCTGCCGTGTGGCTTTAGGTTTTTATTTATTTACATTGATGGTTTCTGACCTTGCTGTCTGTACTTTCTGTGTATTTTTAAACAGGGTTGCCTCTGTCCGCAGGAAATTAAACGCCATGCCTCTAGAATTCAAGGACAAGAATGTCATGCTGGTAGATGGTGTGTGTTAGGCATTATTCGCAATTGGTTGTATATCACGATGTCGCATTATGTTGGATCAATGTTGCTGTCATCGAACCACTCGCCGTCTTTGCAGCGGGCGATGCAGATTGATATGGCGAGCTTTGCTATCACTAACGTACTCATGTAGCCGCTGGCTCTCTCCTTTGCCACGTTATTTCGTCTATTAGATTCCATTGTAAGAGGTACCACTTGTAAGGAGATCATCAACATGGCCAGGGAAGCAGGTGCAGCAAAAGTTTACGTTGCATCGTGTGCGCCGGAAATCAGGTGAGTGGCCATATCGGATTTCATATTTGTTACTGCATCAATGTCCTGCTTCGTTGGGCGAGACTTGCGATTTGGCGGGTTCACTCTCTTGCAGCACACCTTGAATATAACTGGCGTGGCATATTGATCACGTAAAACTCCTATTGTTGACTGAGGCGTATTTGTCCATAAACGCAGGTATCCCAATGTATACGGTATCGATATGCCTACACGTCAGGAATTGGTCGCCTACAACCGCACGCTGAACGACATATCGCGTTATCTTGGCGCAGATGAAGTTGTTTTTCAGGTAAATATTTCCGGGTAATCCCGTACCGAGAAATTCCTGAATCACGCCTTTATTGCGTGTTGGTTCATGATCCTAAATAGATGGTTATGTTGGGTCATTGCGTGACCTGCTGATCAACTCTTGGGTAACCTCAATGCTTCGAAAAAGCACATTCGGTCCGTAGATGGTATCAACGTCCACATAGTCAATATGTCCTACTCTTGCTATCGTAGATTTTGCACATCTTCGTGCTCTTTCACTCGTCTGCTTTTTCATTCTTCTCGTATTGTATGCCTGTGCCATCGTAGAATCTTGAGGACCTTGTAAATTCAGTGCTTCAATGTTCGAGTGATACCAGCCCGGTGTTCTCTGGTTTTGACACATCGGTATTCAACGGCAAGTACATTACCGGCGATATTGATGAGGCGTACATTGAAGGTCTTGAAAACTTCAGGAATGAGAGCTCAAAATTTGCCAGGGTATGTTCTGTCGTATTGTCAGATTTTTCAGCTTTCCTTGCTGCGTTCTATTTAGTCTGGACATAGACCCAGTGTTGCTTTTTCTTGATACTCTCGTTGGGCAATGGTTTGCTATTTCAAGCACCTCTTCGTCGCGATATCCGTTTAGGTTTCTGTAAATCCATCTGAGGATGATCGGGTTGAACCAAAAGAATGGCCCATTGCGGTTACACTCAATTGCTGTTGCATCACATATTACAGACGCCATCTGAGCCCGAAATCGATGGCCTGTACAATTCACTTCGGTGAACGTCAGAGCCATGGCTCTCGTGACGCAGGTATCCAGTTTTAGACACAGCTTACGGCTGGTACTACGGCACAGGGAGATTCGATGATGATCGAATTGTGAAAGAATCGTCGAGGCACGGCTCCATACGTACTTGTGGTGTCAAGTCAACGTCTATGCATATTTAATTTATAACTTCTGAAGCGAAGTTCTCCGACCGCCGTGCTCTCGAGTAGTGGAATTTGGCTGCAACCAAATCAAATTATTCTAAAAGCTGAAATATGCGAGATAAATGGTTTAGTGCACTGCTGTATACGTGCTGTCGTTCTTTCATATTGAAATATAGGCGCGGTTGGTCCCATAAATCTCTCGCACCCTTGACTCTTTGTGCAGATACCATGTAAATGTGGCTATTATCTTGCAAGGCGAAGAGCTGCAAAAGAGCTTATCAGACTTGAAAAGTATATCCGTCTGTGCAACCCATTCCTAACTTGTACACGCCTACGCTGCTTCGCTACATGCTCCACCACTGCGTGTAAATTCTGCGACTTGTAGACTGCGGCAGTTGTAAAAAGTGCCATCACTGTGCAAATAATAGTTCCGGTAGATCCGAAGGGATTGTTTCAGACTTCAGAGTCAGGAATTATACATAGAAGGATGATATAAGCACTGGAGAATAAATATTGCCCAGACACATTTTGAAAATTGTATTTGGTTTGAGACCAGATTCTGACAAAATTTGAAAATATTGGCGGCCCAGTAAGAATTTTGGCCCGCCAGAAATCAACATGCCTGGCAATTTACAAGAGAACAATCCCTGTGTCAAAGGTTTTGAAATTGTTGTTGTTCCCTCAAGTCTATAAAGGTATATGAATTTTTGTGATAGTCACAAGTAGTATGAGTGGTGGGAGGGACACGAGGCACTGTGGACATGGCAATCAGTTTCGACCTGACACAGACATAAGTGTATGTACCTGACGCAGGGGAAAATGCGTCAAGTGATAGTGATAGTGATCTTAACGACGACGATATCGGTGATATACAGAACGGACGTGTTAAGGTGGGGAAAACGCCAGCTAAAGAGTGTACACGATGCAAAATGGTATGAGTATAATGTAGAGTCTCTCAGGGAAGTATGTCGGGACAGCAGAAAGAACACAGAGGTGTAATAAAATAATATATGATCGTGAAATTTTCGATTGAAAACATGTTGGCAAGGCCGAGGACAACAATGACCGCCCCAGGTCCCCATCATGATGGCCGTTCCAGCAGGCCACTTCAAAAATGGTCGAATTTCCACAAGACACTCTCTGAGTCTCTGTGACTGACTCGCCTCTCGACTCTCGTGAAATCGCATACAATCACAATCAGTTGTCATTGATTTTGTTTTTTCATGCCGTCTCATGACTGACGAGTGACGGACTGATGACAGTCGACAGTTCGACACACTCACCATGATGAGTCAACATCTCTTCAACAGTCAACAATCAACACTCAACACTCAACACAACAAGAACTAGAAGAGACTACAAGTATCACAACTTCACAAGAAGGGAGAGAAGAGTGGCCACCAGGCTGCAGGCACCAGCAGTAGGCACTAGGCAGTCACTGGGGGGTAGCCGAGTACATAGGTAGAGCAGAATAGCGAGTGTAGAGTGTGGAGTTGTTAGGCACGAGTCGGTGATGAGCAGTGAGCAGTGAGCACACAAAAAGGTACACTGTCTATACTCACATAAATACTGTGTATAATTGTTGTACATGTACACTTAAAGTTTTAGTTGGAAATAGGTGCATCTTGCTGCTTGCAAGTGCAATTTTCAAAATTTCATATATATAAAAACCCCATATTTGACGGTTGACCTCAAAAAAGCAATAACGTTGTATTTTAATTTATTGTCCTACGGACTTTTTAGTCCGTTGTGGTATTTATTTTTATTTTTAATCTCTCTTAAGAGAGTAAGAGGGCCATGATTTATTTTTACTGTTTTGGTTTTGTTTTATTTTTTTAAATAAAAACAAATCTACATAATAACCATTTGCGATTATCGTAAGACGCAAACGTATTGAGTTTAGCCACGGTCTCACAGGCGCTCGCTGCACGGCGAGTCATCGAGTCGGCGACAGGCCTCGTTACGTTTTTGCTGACATATAATAATAAACAATAAACGCTAGGTATATATGTATCGTACACCCGACTGGCAATCAGAGTATCAGACACAGTATTTATAGGCCTGGGAGTCAGTGGGAGACCTTAGTCCTTACACATGTCGACCCGTTGACGAAAACGTCAAACGCGAACGCATCGGAATCTATACGTTTTAACTTATACGGTATGAGTCTATGAGACCTGGTTCGGCGATAATCATTTTTATACATAATCAAAACCGTATTGTAAAAAGTAAAATACTAAAACAATCAGTTCAATCACTCAGATGAGTCGATGGAGTATAAATGACAGGTCTTAAAACAAAACAAACAAAACAAAACCCGATAAAAAAGATTTATTGCAGTTACAAGAGGTCAAGAGGGTGAATTTATAAAAAGTCTGACGACTTGAGCCTGACAGATACAATATACAAATGTACGTCCATTCACTCCATTGGCATTGTATTTTAATTTTAGGCCTTATGAATATCTCCGGTGCTCTGAGTGAGAGTAATTTCTGGTATGCTGCACTGAGTACTCCGTACTGTATTATCTGTTTTGAGTGTTTTCTGTTTTCAGTTTTCAGTTCGAGTTTTCAGTTTTGAGTTTTGTGCCTGTCGAGTTTCGAGTTTCGAGTTTCGAGTTGTGACTTGTGACTTGTGACTTCGGATTTGAGACTTCAGAGTTCAGACAAATAGACAAATACGAGTGAAGAGTCGGGAGTTCTGACTCTGGCACCTGGTTGAGTGGTTCTGTTTGTACAGTACTTTCGATTTTCGAACCGTCACTGCGTCAACTGTTGTCAAGTCGTCAACGGTTAAACAACCCTCCGGGTCTCAAGAAGTCGTCAACTTCTCACAACTTCTCACAACTTCACAAGTCTGCTGGCTGTCCTCAACTTTCAAGAAGCAAATAAATGTGACTATAAATGTGTATTTAAAAAAAAGTTGTTTCACCACGACACCCCCACATCGACGTCTCTCATATTAAAGATATTTTAGTTTAAAATAAAATAAAATAATACTTGGACTCGCTGCTTTGGCGAGTAAAATCGAATTGCCTGTGACAATGACTACAGGTATCAATGTTGTCAACACGGATGATTCAAAGAGTGTGAGTAGTAAATCCACGGAATGTCAGCTGTTGGATTCGGACTACGACTCTAAAGGGTCACAAGTTCATACCGACAACAACAATCATGATGAAACAATTAAATACACAGGCTTGCTTGGTACCGTTATGAATTTGACGGTATCGATCATTGGCGGTGCTATTTATGCGTTACCGTATAGTGCCGCGCAGGTTGGTTGGTCAATCGCTATCGGGCTGATGGTTTTTGGTGCTGTTTTAACGTGGTTTGGTATCCACTTACTCGGAAGTATCGCAAATATAATTGGCAACCGTCAAACAACGTTTGGCTTGGCTTTGGAGATGTCCTATCCCTGTCTCACTATAATCGTCGATTTAGTGGTCGTATTCTTGGGGTGGTGTGTAGCGGTAGTCTATTTGACTGTCGCCTCCACCGTCATGCCAAATGTCATGGCCGATTTTATGGATGTGGAAACCCAAAGCCCTAGCACTCCGATCTTCGTAGAAGCCTGGTTCTGGCTTGCCATTTTCTGGGTCGGACTTGCGCTACCTCTGTCGATGACACGGACGCTCTTCTTCGTGGCACCAGCTGCGTTGGCTGCGGTCATCTGTGTTGGCTACACAGCATTCATATCTTTCGGATACTTAGTAGGGATTTTTGATCCATGCGCGGGAGTCTCGGCGTCATGCCAAGGTGAAGTAGATGTCGCTGTGTGAAATTTTCAAAGCATAATGCGAGCATTCCCTGTTTTTATTCAGGCCTATTGTATGGGTCCGATTGTCTTCACAGTGTATAATAGCATGGGCAAGAATAGTGTCAGTCGTGTTGACGCAGCAGGATTTATTTCTTTGCTGTTAGGCTCGTGCTTTTACACTGTGATAATGCTATGTGGCTATTTAGTCTATGGTTCTGAAGTCAAAGCAAATGTTTTGGATTCCTTCCCTCGATCACTTGAGGCCTCCATTGCCCGCATGGGTACAGCATTTGTGGCTACAGTATACTTCTCTCGACCATCTTATACACATTCTAAGCAAGTTGACACCCAGCAAATGCATATCTAGGGATGTTCTGGATTACGCGACGCGGATCGGCAAGATTACTTTCTACTCGACAACGCTAGCGTTAAATTTATTGGCAGTCCTATTTGCATACTTTCAAATCGACATCAACTTCATGCTCTCCTTGGCGGGCGCGTTTGGTACAATACATCTGAGTTTAACAGTCCCTGCAGCTGTATATTGGAAGCTGTTCGAAGACGAGGGGTTGTCTGTGCAGCGCTTACTGACAATTCCGTTTGGATTTGTTGGTATTTTCATAATGTGCATAAGCGTTTGGACCATATTCTTTTGAGAACACTTGCGGCTTATGCAGTACGTGATACATCAGTATACCAAACGTTCAGATGCTCAAATAGATATGAAGTACATGGCCGCGAGCTCTATATGAGACTCACAATGGAACACATTCGCAAGAAATCGACAGAATTGGCAAGTTTAGCCTCAATGAGGGCTATGGTCTTTAATAACCTGCCCCGACCAGACCGCGAGCTGTCCTACTATTACCCCACTGTAGGGAGGTATGTAACGTCGACATACAAACTTTCATCTCGTCCGGATAGCAGTTAAAATCTTGTTTCATAATCAAATCTCTAAATAACTGTACCTCTTCAAGAAGTGTGAACTGTATATAATAGGGATTTCATATTTGTGTGCAGCAAATAATAAATAATCACGCGCAGCGGCTAGCAAGTAGCAACACATGAGATTTGATAACATTTATTTAGCCTTCAAATACACAATCGAAAACCAAAACAAATATATATTATTTCATAGCCAACTGATAACACTATTTCAATCACAAAAAAAGACTTCTCCTTCCCCTTCCCCTCCCCCGGACCTCCCCCCTAACAGACGACCTCGTTCCGATTGGAGGGGACTTTTAGGGGACCTAAATAGACCAAAAGCGTGATGGACAGATTTCTCATTTCTCATCATGACGAAATAAAATAGTTTACTAAAATATATATAGTCCTCGTTTCAGGGATAATTTATCAACAAATACTGAGTTCTGCGCAGACTCTACAATCTACATAGGACCATAATCATACCCTTCCAGTCAACTAAAACCGAGTCAGAATCGAGTATCCGTCGAATGAATATGTTCTCAACACTTTGTCGCTCTATCCGGTCCACAACCAGTATCGAATGTCGTTCTCTGGTACGTTTCTGTCTAAGAGCGTGTGTCTTCGAGCAGATCCATTGCATATATGGTGGCTTTATAGTAAAAAAGCAATGGGATTTATCAGGACGGTTAGTTTGATTTATCGAAATGTTTGCATAGCATATAATTGTATGCGTATAAAATAAGAATAGACTCTAATGCACACTGAAAAAATTCGCTTAATTATATGGAAAGTGTAAAATATAGAGAACGAACGAGAACATCTGCGCAAGTCTGTGAGTATGTATCATTGTTTATGTATAAGTTCAAATACTATGCATTAACATGTACATATATATATATATATATATATATATATATATATATATAGTATATATTATATTAGTTATATTATTATTATATTA